ACAGAGAGAAAGCTCTCCCATCCATTGGTTAACTCTCCGAATGGCTGCAATGGCTGGAGCTGAGCTGATCTGAAGTCGGGAGCCAGGAGCTTCTTCCAGGTCTCCCACATGGGTGCAGGGACCCAAGCACCTGGGCCATCTTCCACTGCTTTCCCAGACCATTGGCATAGAGCTGGATCAGAAGAAGAGCAGTCAGGATACAAATCAACACCCATATAGGATGCCAGTGCCTCAGGTGGAGGCTTAGCCTACTGCGCCACAGCACTGGCCCCTTTAACCAATTTCTTAACCAATAGATGAAACACTGCCTCACCTCTAAGTTATTTTAAAATGTGAAGTAATTACCCAAGACAATCTTAGAATTATACTTGTTTACTTTGAATAAAATCGGTACAGTTGGTGCTCAACTTTTGATGGTTCACCTTAGAATTTTTTGATATCCTGGTGGTACAAAAGTGTCTTCACGTCAGTGGAAAGCATCCTCGGCATGTTGAATTTGGATCGTATCCAGGTTAGGACTATGAAGTCGGATCCTCCCTTGTAGTGCTGGGCAGCAGCACACGCAGCTCCCAGTTTTGAGGGGAAACCATCCATGCTCTAGAGGGCGATGTGCTGGCATGTGTGGTTGGTGAGGTGGGTGCATCGCGTTGCCAGCTGCGATACGTTCAACTCACGGTTACCCGGATGCGACTCCATCAGAAGTTGAGCAGTTCCGTCTTTCACGTTTGGCAGATCCCACTATTGCACTAGCCTGGTCCTCAAAGTGGCCAGCAGACCAGCATTGGTCTAAGAACATTTGTTATTGGTCCACAAGCAGATTAATAAAGAAATTGAAAGTATTCAGAAACATTTTAGCCACAGCCATAGCACTCAAATTGGTGATCATTTTTTATAAAGTGTTTTTCATAATACGTGTGTTTCATGAAAAAAACGCATGGTTGAGAAAATTTTTTGCACCAAATTCAACTTACCCTTTAATTCCATTTCCATGAACTTTTGAAGAATCTTGTATGTAAGATACTTTTGTGCAAAAGACACCGTTGAAGCCACTCCCTGCCATGTGTTAGAAAGACACTGTTGGCCGGCACCGCGGCTCAATAGGCTAATCCTCCGCCTTGCGGCGCCGGCACACCGGATTCTGTCCCGGTTGCCCCTCTTCCAGGCCAGCTCTCTGCTGTGGCCAGGGAGTGCAGTGGAGGATGGCCCAGGTGCTTGGGCCCTGCACCCCATGGGAGACCAGGAGAAGCACCTGGCTCCTGGCTTTGGATCCACGCGGTGCACCAGCCGCAGCGCGCTGGCCGCGGCAGCCATTGGAGGGTGAACCAACCAATGGCAAAAGGAAGACCTTTCTCTCTGTCTCTCTCTCTCACTGTCCACTCTGCCTGTCAAAAAAAAAAAAAAAAAAAGAAGAAAAGAAAGAAAGAAAGACACTGTCTTAAATGATGTCCATGCTGTGAAGTGCACCTCCTCAGGGGCGTCCAAGGTGGCTCCTTGGACACAGCTTAGCATATTGCACACCAGGCAGGGAGAATGGCCAGTGCTGGCCACTATGCAGCGGCCTGTTCCACAGCCCCAGGGCTAAAAGCCCTTAAAGCCGTGCTCAGCTCCACAGACCAGGGCCCTAGGACATCATCACCTCCAGAAAACACTGCAGAGTTTTCTTTGTTCAGGTTTAGAGGAACTGGGAACAAAAGGAGGATTAAATTTCCCGGGGCAGGGGCAGGCATTTGACACCCAGGTAAAGAAGCAGCTTGGAACACCTGCATCTCGTATCAAAGTGGCTGAGTTCAAGTCTCAGCTCCACCCCCAGTGGGAGTCCTGGATTGGTTTAAGCAGAAGGAGGCAGAGTCGTGCATCACCTGTGTCTCCCGTTCCTTCTCTGATGCCATAACCGGAGCCTCCAGGACATCCACCCCCTCTTTCTCTGTTGGTTCCGCTGATGCCACAGTGGCTGGAGGATGAACCTGCAGCCATGGAAGAGGGGAGGTCGGTGGTGAACCTGAGTGAGGGTTGGGGAGGAGAGGAACGGATCAGTGACTTGAACCCCAGCGTTGTTCCTGAGAACGATTTCATGGGATGTTAAACTGTGCAGTCTGTTTTGGGGCTGGCGCTGTGGCACAGCAGATTAATGCCCTGGCCTGCAGTGCCAGCATCCCGTATGTGTGCCGGTTCAAGTCCTGGCTGCTCCACTTCCCATCCAGCTCTCTGCTATGGCCTGGGAATGCAGCAGAAGATGGCCCAAGTCCTTGGGCCCCTGCACCCACATGGGAGACCCAGAAGAAGCTCCTGGCTCCTGGCTTCGGTGCAGCTCTGGCCGTTGCAGTCAATTGGAGAGTGAACCATCAGATGGAAGACCTCTCCCTCTCTCTCTCTCTCTCTTTCTCTCTCTCTCTGCCTCTCCTCTCTCTGTGTAACTCTGACTTTCAAATAAATACATAAATCTTTAAAAAAAATTAGACTGTGCAGTCTTGTCTCGTTAGAGAGAGGTTTTATTTTCAAACATGGCGCTGTATCATGGCTCTACACAGGAGACCCTGTTGTCTGTGAAGCAGCAGCTCTCCTGGTTCCTTGGCCCCCTTGTCTGCAGGCAGCCCCTTTAGATGCAGCCTTCACTTCTGCTGGGTGGCTTCCCGGATCCCCCAGGCAGAGTTAGGCCCCTTCTGTTCCCTCCTTCAGTGTCCTTCTCCCGGATGCTCTGGTTTGAGAATTTTTGTTTCTGTTCCCTGTAGACAAATACTGGCTGTTCCAGGACACAACTCTGCAGCTTTGTCATTTTTCATAGTCCTCTCAGAAAAGGGATAAGAGTTTAGTTTTTTAAAGAAGTTTCAAGTTAATGACGGTGTCCGTGGTGCTGGGAAAGGAAAGTTTGCTAGTGTTAATCAAGAATAAGATTTGCTTATCAATGATCAGATATTGTAGTTATTTGGAACATTAAAATAAAAACCATTTTTATTTTAAAAATTTTATGTTTATATTTTTAGTAACATCTAATTTCAATTAACTTTATATACATACAATTAACTCTATACCGAATAAAGAGTTAAACAGGGCCGGCGCCATGGCTCACTAGGTTAATCCTCTGCCTGTGGCGCCGGCACCCCGGGTTCTAGTCCCGGTTGGGACACCGGTTCTGTCCCGGTTGCCCCTCTTCTAGTCCAGCTCTCTGCTGTGGCCCAGGAGGGCAGTGGAGGATGGCCCAAGTGCTTGGGGCCTGGACCTGCATCCGCATGGGAGACCTGGAGGAAACACCTTGTTCCTGGCTTCGGATTGGCGCTGTGCGCTGGCCGTAGCGACCATTTAGGGGTGTGAACCAATGGAAGGAAGACCTTTCTCTCTGTCTCTCTCTCTCACTGTCTAACTCTGCCTGTAAAAAAAAAAAAAAGAGTTAAACAAATTGCATGAAAAAAACTGTTCCTCAACAGTGGAGACAAGGACTGTTCAAAACGCTGCATCTTGAAGTGTTAATTTCGCTTCTGTAGATTACATTTTAGATGCTCTAAGAGTGAGAGTAGGAGAGAGAGGAGGAAGACAGGTGGGAATGTGGGGGGGGGGGATGGGTACTGTGGGAAGAATCACTATATTCCTAAAGCTGTATTTATGAAAAGCATTAAGTTTGTATTCCTTAATAAAAAATAAATAAAACCAGGTAAAAAATCACAAAAAAACAATGAGTTTTAAGTATATACATCCACATATTAAAACATTTTATTTAAAGACTCACTTACTTAAAAGCAAGAATGACAAAGAGGGGGAGAATGTGGCGGAGGGGGAGTGAAATCTAGATCTTCCTTCCACTGGTTTGCTCCCCAGATGGCCACAACAGCAAGGTCTTGACCAAGCCAAAGCCAGGCACCAGGAAGTCCATCCTGGCCTCCTCAAGTGTGTGGGCCATCTTTCCCTGTCTCCCCAGGGACATGAGCAGAAGCCTACAGAGAGGCAGAGCAGCCAGGACTCGAACTGGCACTGTGATGTGGGAAGCCGGTTGTAGGCAGAGGCTTCCCTGTTGTGCTGCAGTGCCAGCGTCTGGCAGGGCACATATGGGATGCCATCGCTGCGGGTGGGGCTTCATCTGCCACAACACCGGCCCCTAGCAGTATTTGTTGTTATTATTACAACAATACTACTATTATTATTACCTCCTAGCAGTATTTGTTGTTATTTATTCTTTGGGATTTATTTCATCTTCAAAGACAGTTTTTTTCTTCCTTCCCAATCTGCACACCCTTTGTTTCCTTTTATTGTGCTACCAAGAATTTCAGCAAGTTGTTGAGAGGGAATGGTGAGAAGGATCATCCCTGCCTTGCTTTCCTGTTCTCAGTGGTAAAGCTTTAAGCTGTCCACTGTTAAGTATGGCATCTGCTACAGGTTTCTTGTGAATGTTCTCTATCAAGTTAAGGCAGTTCCCTTCTATCCCTTATTTGCATCCCATTGAGAATTGTTAGTGTGAATCTTAATCTCTGTGTCTGCTAACTATTGTTTTCATTCAAGCCACTACTTTGTAGTAACTGTTACATTATATTTTCCAAACAACTGTTCATCGTCAATTTATAATCAACCAACTATTTTGTAATGCAATTTTAATAACATTTGTTTCTTTAGAACATAGCAGTCGTAGCATTGAAAGCCAGATGGGACATTGGTGTAGAATGTGATATTCACCATGTATTGTGGGAGTTGCAAATCTACCCCTGGAGTATGGTCGGTCCCCTTAGGGTCAATGACTTTTTTCCACCTCTCATTATGGGGTCCTCAGCCATCGATTAAGCAAGTGAATATATTCAATATTGCACCTCAGTAAGTCCAAATGTCCCGTGAAACCAGCACACCAGCTAGTAGTAGGGCTGGCATTGCAAGAAAGGGAGTGCCAAGCTGCTGTCTCTGGCCATAGTCATTCTCTGTTGATTACTGCCATTCCAAAAATAAATAAACAAACAACAACAAACACCAAGACTCCTGTCGCTGGCATCTCTCACTGGTTGCTCGTTTTCTTGTCCTGTCAGGAATCCTCATCATGATGTCCCTATGCAGAGAGGTGCACGTGTATGAATACATCCCATCCATTCGGCAGACGGAACTTTGCCACTACCACGAGCTATACTACGACGCCGCCTGTACCCTGGGCGCCTACCACCCACTGCTGTACGAGAAGCTCCTGGTGCAGCGTCTGAACATGGGCACCCAAGGAGACCTGCATCGCAAGGGCAAGGTGGTCCTGCCCGGCTTCCAGGCCGTGCAGTGCCCGGCTCCCAACCCCGCCGACCCCCACTCTTAAGAAAGGAACTCATGGGAATCAATGTGCAATAAGGTACTACTGTTGTCCTCGACGTCACACAAAAATACTTGAAGATAGATTTTAGACATGTAGTATTGAGTCTTTCAACTGTAATTTAGTGGTGGCCATGGGATTTCTTCTCTTACTAAGCCTTTGAGTATTTATTACAGCTTTGAATATAGAAATGGACTTTTTAAAAAACTTAAGAAAGATGAAAAAAAGAGGATAGCTAGAGAGAAAACAAATGTATAACCATGAGTACAATACCTCCAACAATGTTCTTATGCCATGAGTACCTGTTACCAGGGTTGGTTCCAACTACAGGTTTCAGGCATACTCTTGATAACACAAAGTGGTTTCTAACCAGAAACATCCATGTGAGGTACAGACTCTGCCACATCTATTGTGTCACTGGTACATGCTTTGGTCATCAAATATCATAGACTTTATGATGTACATCCGAAATATCACTCACATGTGTGTAATAGCAAAGAAGTGCCCTCAGAATCCCATCCAGTACATGTTTTCAAGCATTGTATTTCTCATCTCTACTTCCCGTTGGCCACTGGATGCTTTGCTGGCTGTGTGTCAGGACAAATTTCTGAAACCGTAACTTGGCCATCTGGAACAGTCCAAGAGCAAGCCTGACCCCTCATGTCCCCCAAGGAGGCCCTTTGTTTCCCAGCAGTGTCTCATTACTCACTGGGTGCGATAGTCTCACACAGCAGGAGAGGAACCCTGCCAGCAAGTACACACAGGATCACGGGGTGCAGCGGGGGCCTGCACCTGTCACAGCTCCACCTTCCCAGGTGCCTCCTCGCCTGCAGGTGCACCCCACAGCTCTTGCATAGCCGGCGACATGCTTGGCAGTTGGCACGGTCCGGCCTTGTTCCTTCCAAACTAGAAGGAAGGACTTTGGGCCCCCTGGGCAGCTAGGGGTACCTACTTAAGCCTTTTGTACACATTTCTCACAGGTGTTTTTTTTTGTTTTTGTTTTTGTTTCTTTTTAAATCAGCGATTGGGAAGTCAGCAGTGATGTGTGCTGCATTTTCACCAGTTCTTCCTACGACAAACATTTAGGAATCCAGTCCTTGTTTCTGCAGATATGTTTTATGTCAGCAGCATGACAAAGCCATATTATGAAGACTGTGTGAAAGCATTGCCTTTTGACAACAAGGAATGTAGGTGGTCTGTGTCCTGAGGCAAACGTGACCAGACCAGAGAGGTTTGCATTCCAGTGTGGTAGTGTAACATAAGTCTGCGTAGAGAAAGTCAACCCAGGATTCTCCCCATCTTGCTAAAAGGCTTTGGCCTTATTTTCATGTGAGCTGTAAGTTCTAGGACACAATGGGGCAGCTCTGTTGTGAGACGAGCCACCCTTAGATGTTTCTGGATTTCCCAGGATTTTGCCATTTTAAATGCCCACGACTATTGAGGTTGCTTTGGTAGTCTTCCAAGTAGATTTCTCAAGAGACATCCTTTTTATACAGAAGAATCCCTCCTTTGAACCTTAAGCAGTTGATTAAAGAATAATTTATTGGGATCAATGTAAATATTTAAGTTCAAAAGCCTCAGAAAATACTTCAAGAACATTTAAATAGCATTTTATTGTGAATTCATGTACTTTTAAAAGAGTACTCCCAGTTTCACTGAGGTTAGAAAAAAAAGGACTGAATGGCATAAAGGAAATTTAATTATATTTTTTTGAATTTATTATGGCCTTCCAGACTCTTGGGAATCATAGTCTGTTGAATATTCAGAAAGTGTATGGTGTGCATTTTAATATAGCCCAGGCATTCTTCTACTTGAAAGTTTGAATTATTTAGCCTCTCCAAAATATTAGGCAGCCAGAGTTAGCATGATACCTGTTTCTGGAATTGGCCAAATGAGTCTGAAGAGGCAATATTTTGGCAGACATTGATTTAATCTTTGCATGCCACGTATACTGGGCTCCATTAATCACAGGCCCTTTTGTGAAGTGGCTAATGGACAGATGGCATCCCAACACATTTCTCCCAGGTTCTGTGGCTTTCAGGGACCATCCCAGGCCATTGATAAGATTCCAGGCCATTGAAAAGATTCCAGGCCATTGATAAGATGCCATGGCTCAACCTGAGGCCATTGGGTTCCTTATTTCACTCTCAGGACTAACAGAAATGATGTTGCTTTGCATTTTGAGAGAATTTCACTTTACCTTTTGTAGCTGTTGTTGTTGCAAGAAACAGATGACAATTCAGCTGCGTCTAGATTCTCCCTAACTGGTTTCTCCAGTCAGCCGCACAGGGCACTGAGGTAGTGTGTAAAGGATGTGGCATTGTCCACATTCCCTGGAATACCAATGCCCTGGTCCCTTGTCGCTGAGGGCTACTTTTAACAGAGAGCTTTGTGCTCAGGGCCAAGAGCTTAGAAACCTCAACCTCAAGGGTGTGCATTAAAATGAGCACATGAGGAGTGTTCACCCACCTTTGAATAGTCGTGTCTTCCCTCGTGTGACCTGACACAGAGTTCCAGGCATCCTGCATCAGAAGCAGCAGTCGCCACATGTCTCCTCCCTTTGGTCCGCCAGTCAGTCAGGCCTGGGCTCCCCAGGGGTCCTCTGTCATTGTAAACATGGACCTGAACAAGAACAATGCTAACATAATCATTGGCGTTTTCCAAATTGGGAAATCCAGGGAACCAGGTCACTCCACGACGTAGTTCTGAGCCAGTTCAGTCTACTGGGACAGATTATAAGATATTTTGTTGCCTGCCCCTTCTGGGCAAGCACAGTAGACATTTACTGAATCAGTTAGGACCTGTATGAGTGCATTCAGTAAAACCAGATTGAGATGAGTCATGTTATGTGATGGGAGGATTGTACACACCACTGATGATGAAAGCGGCCTCTGCAGGTTTACTTACAAATCAACACATGGTGCATGCACTCAGAGTCACCCGGCCCTATTGCTCTCCGCTGTGGGACGAGACAGAGGAGGGAATTGGGGGAGGGCTGGGGGAATTACTGAGATTGAATAGATAGGACAAACAGTCTCTGAATATATTCTCTCATACTGTCTCTTGATTTCTGACTCTCTGATAGTTTGAAAGCCTTACTAAATGGTAACAAGAGTGAGGAGGCAGCCTCACTCAGAAATTAATTGCTTAAGTAAAATGTTCCTGACTTTCAACCCATTTTTTTATATCCTGAATCTGTCCATCGTGAAATTATTCTGCATGTTTCCGTCACTTGGGTTGGTAAATGAAAAGTATTTCTCTGTCAGTTCTAAGCTCTGATTGTTGCTTTAGTAAATGAGAAAAAAAAAAGCCTTTTAGTAAGGAAAATAATTCAGGGTATTCCTCTACCAGTTTATGCTAATGAAATTTAAAGAATGAAATCATTGCGATAGTTCTTACTCTTAGAATAAAAGTGTGTGCATGTAGATATAGTTATATAATCGCATATATACGTATCTACATACATGGCTGGTTTCATAGTGTCGTTACCAGTCTTTATGGCTGAAACTCTCACGATACATATTTCTTTGATTTTGCAAACGCTGAATTTTTAAGAGAAAGAAGCCAATGTTTTCTGTCCTTCTATTAACAAAATTCAGTCCTCTACCCACTCCACCCCACCGCTCACCCTCATTCTACACTTCTTGTCTACAATGAAAGAGTAGGATGGAAACCTTTGAAAGGCACGCTGTATGTGGCATACTGCTTTAATAACGTGTCCTACTCAGAGGCCTGATTTAACTCTGAGCTTTGAAGAGAGGTTTATGTAGAGCTCATGGCTTTTTACAAGATTAGAGGAAGAAACTTTTATGATTCAATGGAAAATAGTCTTAGTAGGGAGATTTTAAAGAAATAAAATGCATTGGTTGTGCTAAAACCTAATATTTATAACACACATCTGTTTTACTCCAGATAAAAGACTTAACGAAATTCTTCCAGTGGAAACCAGTGAACTTTTTTAACAACTTTGGTGGGAATTTTTTTGTATGCTAATTTTTAAAACGAAATGTGTACTCTTCAAACTAATTAAGGCTTGAGGTTTTCCAGGAGTCGCCTTTTAAAAGTGTTTGTACGCATTTTAACACTTTGATAGTTTCTATTTCGGTTTTGTATATTTTTATGTATACACAGTGTACAGACTTTTTTCTTGTAAATAAAACATGTTTTCATTTGTCTAGAAGTTTCTCTGTGTCTTGATTTGTAGAAGCTACGCACACAGATGAGTGAACAGCAAAATAATGAGCCATTCCTAGGAAAAAAGGCCCTCAAAGCTGAAATGTCATTGGAAGGCTGAGTAGCTGAAGAAGCGACAGTGCATCTTTAGGCCTGCGGATGGGTGCACTGGGGCCTGGGTGGTGTGGGTAGGCGGTGGGGGCGGGCTTCTAGAGGTTGACGGCCACATGAAGAACGGCAGTTGCAAAGTCAAGTGGAAGAGGCTTCTGTAGGCTGGCAGATGCTGCCGTTGACTTAGTAACCCAGCATTTGGATTCACTTACTGCCTATATTAATTGATTCCTCTTCCTCCGCTTGACAGGGTTGAAGCCATAGAAAATATAAATAACTTATTAGAGGAAAGCCTAGAGCGAGCTGAGTCATCCACAACCCAGCACAGTGGCAAAATAGCCCTGGTGTTCTCCTGCTTGTCACGTAAAGGGAAAATCAGTTCATTAGGCTCCTGGGAAGAAATCCTTGGCCATTTGTGTTCTTCTGATGGGAACGTGAAGGAATTCTCGAATCAGAGAAGCCACCGAGGTTTTGCTGTGAGCAGGTGGGAGGCTTGGAAGGCATCAATTTCTGAAACAGCTAATGCTGAATTGGAAAAGGTTCCCACCGTCCCTGCGACAGCTTTCTCCCAGGTGACTGAAACAAAGCCCTGGTCCCTCAGACCCTGCTGGGGAGACCCAGAGGCTGGGAACATGCAAAGGATACAGCTGTGTGCTCACAGAGGTGCTCAGGCACACGCAGGAGGCTTGCTGATCTTTGAGATCAGATGCCGCTGAGAGGATGAAGGGAAAGCACCCCTACATGGAGGAGGAACTGCAGCCTCTCCCCAGCTCACAGTGATGGGAAAGCAACCCGCGTTCAGCGCAAGCCTTACTTGGCGGATTGCACAAGAATCCGCCCGGCTCGTGCCCTGCAGTCCCGTCCTCTCTGGTGATGCTGGGCAGCGGCAGCTGCTGGTCAGCCCTGTGGTCATGAGAGGAAGCCGTCCACACTCCACAGCGGGTGCTGCTCGGCTAGGATGTTAGGCGGTTTAGGTGCATTCAATGCATTTTGGGTACGAGTGAAGAGCATGGCAGGAAAGGAAAAGCTAAAGGGAGAGGAGCCGGCACCGCGGCTCACTAGGCTAATCCTCCGTCTTGCGGCGCCGGCACACCGTGTTCTAGTCCCGGTCGGGCGCCGGATTCTGTCCCGGTTGCTTCTCTTCCAGTCCAGCTCTCTGCTGTGGCCAGGGAGTGCAGTGGAGGATGGCCCAGGTGCTTGGGCCCTGCACCCCATGGGAGACCAGGAGAAGCACCTGGCTCCTGCCATCGGATCAGCGCAGCACGCTGGCCGCGGCGGCCATTGGAGGGTGAACCAACGGCAAAGGAAGACCTTTCTCTCTGTCTCTCACTGTCCACTCTGCCTGTCAAATAAATAAATAAATAAATAAAGGGAGAGGAAGCAAAAAAAAAATTAGGTAATTTAAATAATTAAGGGCCAGGGTGTACAATGCTATTTTCATCTCAACGTCGTTAACTTAGGGACAAGACTACCTTGTTTCCTAAGGCACCTTCAGTTGACCCAGCTGAATACACTAAGGTGCTGTTCTCAAGAAATCTCAATGCACAGAATGGAGAGGACTGGGGGGCCAAACCCTGCACCAAATCTCTCCTGCACCTCATTGCTTGCAGCAGGGATTGGCAAGCTCCACCTACCACTGGCCCTCCTTTCTAAATAAAGTTTTATTGGAACACAGCCACACTCACTCATTTGTGCATCTATGGCTGCTTTCAGGCAGCAGAGGCAGAGTGGAGCACGGGCCCAGAGTAGGGGGCCCGCCAAGCCTTAAGCATGTATTGCTTGGCCTTTTACAAAGAATTTGCTAACCCCTCACTGTGCATGCAATCTGCTGAGAACTCTGGAGGCCAGCCTGTGGTAGATGGTGTGCTCATGCTCTTTACAAAACCTACTGCTCGGGGCTGACTCTTTGGCATAGTAGGTAAAGCTGCCGCCTGCAGTGCTGGCATCCTGTATGGGCGCTGGTTGGAGTCCCGACTGCTCCACTTCCAATCCAGCTCTCTGCTATGGCCTGGGAAAGCAGTAGAAGATGGCCCAAGTCCTTGGGCCCCAAGAAGGAGAGACCCAAAAGAAGCTCCTGGCTCCTGGTTTTAAATCAGCCAATTGGGCAATTGGGAGTGAACCAGAGGATGGAAGACCGCTTTCTCTCTCTCTCTCTCTCTCTCTCTCTCTCTCTCTCTCTCTGTGTGTGTGTGTGTGTGTGTGTGTGTGTGTGTAACTCTGGCTTTCAAATAAATGAATAAATATTTTTTAAAAAAGAAAAAAACCCTACTGCTGTAGTAGATAATCAGGCAGGCATGGCTCAAGAGAGATTAAAGTTGTCAGCCTACAGCCGCACTGCCAGGAAATGACAGAGCCAGGGTGGTAATCCTTGTCTTACGTCAAAGCCCATGCTCAGTGCCATGGTGTTAGGCTTTGAGAGAATTGTCCTAATACTCAAAAGCCCCATAGTCCAATGCACCGCAAGGGCCCCGCCTGGAAGGTAACTGCACAGAAGTGCAGTGCCTAACGTTCCAGTCGAGGGCAGACCACACACACGATGGTGCATACCAGCCAGCGAGGTGTGTGGTGGGTTCCACCGTCTAGTTTGTTTAAGCATACTCGATGATGTGCATACAGCAAAGCCATGCATTCCTTATGGTCTCCCCATTATTTAGCAATGCATGACTGTGCTTTGAATACTGTGCGCATCTGTGTTGAAATTTATGGAGACTGACAGCGGACTTTTCCAGAGGCCTTTCCAATCCTCTAGACCCTGAGAGCACCACAGGGTATATGTGCTGGTCACAGTCAAGTGCAGTGTTTGTTCTGTTAGGAGGAGCCAGCCCCCTCTGATTGTCACAGCCCCAGTGGAGTGAGTGTCTCTGCGGGGGCGGGGAGGCACAGGACTGATGTCTAACTAAATCATATCATGCTGCAGAACAGGCACTCATTAACTTGAACAATGAGGCCCCAGCTGAGAAACTGATCCTGAAAGTCAAGGTGAAAGGAGAAAAAAAAAATGAGTTTGGAAAATACTATATCATCTCCTGTTGTTGCTTGCCTTCCCTAGCACGCAGCCCCAAAATGCAGGGGAAAAAGGGGATTGAAGCAGCAACACGTCCTTCAAATTGTTTTAAAAACAATGCTGGTGTGAAGAGATTGCAGAGGGAGAAGAGGGAAGACTTGACTCCTGCTGGGGAGAAGCCAGACCAGCAGTTGGGACACCTAGAGGAATATATCTGACAACCTGTGCAGCCCATTCTGAGGTCCAGGAGATGAAACTCCAGCCAGACGTGATGGTGACTCAAAACAGAGCTTACCCAGGAATACTGTACAAGCAATCGCATTCATTGCATGAGAAATAGAAGTTTATTCTTCTGTGATTCAATTAATTTTCTCTCAATCCTCTTCCCAACACAAGGTAAAAACTACCACATTTTATCTAAAGGAAGACAAAGAAAAACATTAGTGAAACTCAAACAGGAGTCTCGTATCTCACTTGTGTGTGCACTAGAAACACAGCAGCCCTGAGCCTCCTGTGGACATGGCACCGTTAGAACGGGGCTTGTCATGAGTTGAGATGTGAAGCTTAAAACATACCCTAGATTGCCAAGATTTAGTATGAAAAGGTGAATATAAAAAATACCAGTAATTTTGCTATGTTGATGACATGTTGAGCTGATATTTTAAATACTTTTTTTAAATAAAAACAGATTACTAAGATTAATTTCACCATTCCTTTTTGCATCATTAATATGTTGCCCAGAATAATCAAAATTCAGTTTCTTCTTGCATTGTATTTCGAGTCATCAACAGTGACTTGCAACTTTTATATTTGTTGAAAAGCAATTTAGACTTATTTAGATGTAGATTTTCCATTTCCTATTATCTAGGATATACAGAAAAGCACAGTCTATTAGAAGTTGGTCATCTAAGTTATTAAAACATTCAACTTCAGAGTCTCTCTCTTCTCAATTACTTTGTGAAGCAATCACTTATGTCTATGTTTTTTTCCACCCAGATTTGTCTTAGGCAACATCAGAAGCTATGTGGTCCATCACTTACGATGTCTTCCAAGGTGCTGA